TGTCGAGTGTCGAGTGTCGAGTGTCAAGTGTCGAGTGTTGAGTGTTGAGTGTCGAGTGTCTAGTGTCGAGTGACGTCGAGTGTCGAGTGTCTGAGTGTCTTGTGTCTGGTGTTTAGTGTCTGAGTGTCGAGTGTCGAGTGTCGAGTGTCTAGTGTCTGAGTGTCTAACGTCTGGGTGTCTGAGTGTCAAGTGTCTGAGAGTCTAGTGTCTGAGTGTCTTGTATCCGAGTGTCTGAGTGTCTGAGGGTCTAGCGTCTGAGTGTCTAGTGTCCAAGTGTCTAGTGTCTGGGTGTCTCAGTGTAGTCCTATTATTTGATACCCATATTGTGGTGGTTGTGGAAAAATATGTACCTAGTCCGCCATATTGGAACGGCGTCGATCTTGAATTTTAAATTTTGACATAATCATCGTGTTTTACTAGTGTAGCCCTTTCATTTGATACCCATATTGCGGGGGTTAAGGAAAAATATGTAATCCGCCATTTTGTATCGGCGGCCATCTTAGATTTATAATGTTATTGATTTTATTATATTGTATTGTCATCTAAATTAAATGTGTGTACCAAATTTCAGATCAATCTGACAACGGGAAGGTGCTTAAATTCCAATTTCTAATTTTGACCCAAATAAATAAATACCGTACAGGTCGAGCTAAATAAAACCGTTTAAAAATACCTGAATCCTCAGGAATGGGGAGTATCATGGGCGAAACAGTATACTCTGTTATGTCCATGGTACTGCTCATGTTTATAGGCGACGGTTACCATTTTCCATCAGATGCGCCGTCAGCTTGTTTACCATTCTAAGTTGCATAAAAAAAAAATATATAAAAAAATTAACAATATTTCCAAAAACAATATTGCTATAGTACATGACCAGAAAATCACATAAACTGCTAAAAAATATAGCGTTCCCTTCAGATTTGCCGTAGTCTGGTGAAAATTAATTGCATTTCAATAATAAAATAAGGTCTCACATCGGTGAAAGCGTTATTATCTCCCTCGGGAGACTCTCCATATACAGGCTTTAAGCAGACGGCATTGCTTCGTGCTGTCCTATTTTGTTGCATAAAAAATTGGGGTTTCCATTTGTTTTCATTTAGGGACCCAAATCCATTAGTGGGTTCGCTACAGTCCGCCTGCGGTCTTATCCGCTTCATTGAATGTACGTTACGTTAATGTGTAAATAGATGTTTAAACATGTCTGGACCTATTTATCCGTGTGGTAATATAATAAGATTAGATACAACATATCAACTAGTTAACAACCGAGTTCTAAGGTTCTGCATCAAAAAGGTTTTTTTTTTATTGTATGCAACTTAGAATGGCAAACAAGCTGATAGCTCACCTGATTGAAAGTAGTAACCGTCGCCTATAGACATGAGTAGTACCATGGTCGTAACAAAGTATACTGTTTCGTTCATGATACCCCCCATGCGTTGCCATTCCTGAGGACTCAGGTATTATTCCTCTGTACCCAGTAAATTCACTGCCATATCCTACCCTTCAAACTGAAACACAGTCATGGAAACACAACTTCACGGTAGAAACACGGATGGAACAGAGATGCCAAAGCAAATGACTTTTGTACAAGTCTCCCTATGGTAAGGTACAAAGAAACCTATATAGTGAAACTTTGCGGGTCTGTCCGACTGTAACAGCGCTAAAACCCAGCAACTACTAATTCTATCGATTTTAAATTTAGAATAGTTTTATATATCCTTGGTTTATTATCCTTTATATATACATATTACAATCGAAATAATTAAAAAAAAAAAAAAAAAAAACTTTTATGGTGAACCAAAAAGAATACTTACTCAAAATTTCAAAATTAAACTACTAATCTAAGTGAAATGTCATAAGAGTAAATAAAAATCGGTAAAAAAACTTTTAAGTTAAACGGTTTTATTTTATGTGCACTGAAAACTACAAAATAAATAAATAGTTACTTACCTATCAACCTACGTAGGTGATCTCGGTCATTAATATCTCTGATGGTAGTGGTTGTCATAACATGAACCATGTCAGCGGCCGAAAGGCAGTTCATGAGAGAACACTAACACCAGGGTTTGCTTGGTAGGTAAACTAAGCAGCCCACACTATAACAAGTAGGTATTTTGACCTTCTAGTTCAGAAATATTTTAGTACTAGGCAGAATAGCTTTTAGGCATATTAGACTAAAATAAAAACGTGTTATCTAATCTAATTTTTATTTACTTTTATGCTGGGTAATTTTTAGTTATAATCGAAAATCTGATAAAATTAACCAGAAGCAAAATTAAACCAGACGGAGACTTTGTACAAAAATCCTTTGCTTTTTGGATTATTGTCGTTGAAGATCTCTGTCCCACTCGTGTATCTAACATGTAGCAGTTGTGTTTGCATAGCTTCGGTTTGAAGGGTAGTATGTGGTAATGAAATTACAAAGCACAGAAGCATAACCTTAGTCTTCAAGAATGGCAACGAAGGGTATTATGGGCGACACACTATACTCATAACACCATAGTCCTTACAAATTGTAAGGCATGAAATACCATGGTCAGGGGGGAAAGAAAGTGTTAGTAATGGAGACTGAGAATCCCATTGCTAGCAATATACCCAACCAGGTCGACCTCCTCTCGGTTCTTCCTGGAAATTATTATGGTTAATTCCTGATGACTTCATCATGATGGGCTAACTGGCCTGTTTTCATTCTCATCTATCACCCTTTACTGGTGCTCCGCAAGCGTATACCGGTAATGCAGGCGGGGTTACCATACCATTTTCGCCCATAAAAAAATACCATGGTCATTATAAGGTACATATTCTGTGATACTCATAACGTTGGTCTACCTTATAAGCGATTGTTACCACTTCCCATCAGGCGGGCCGTCAGCTTTACTATTTCATGTTCCATAAGACACTAATAATCACTATACCAAAAACAATAATATAATAATAATAGAATGCTCTCCTAACAGAATTTACTTTTCTGTGAGAATTTTATAAACAGTGCTCTTTATTACCACGTGTGAGGTACCGTTGCATATGGAGCCATAATGGAAACGTGGCTTTAATATTGCACGAGAATGGAATACTGATTAAGGGAGAGATGCCTAACGGTCACATCTAGAAATATTGGGTGGTCGTACTATACAATGATAGAATGGAAAAATCTGAAACAACCATTCTGAAACGTGTCAAAGGAAAAATAGTAGAATATTTTTGAAGTATTTATTTGTGTATACTTTAAATCGTCAGCATCCTTTGAAGAGTTCCCATTGACATAAGACGAAGTGTCTAATTTGTTTTTTAAAAGTCCATGAATCTTTTATGCAGAAGCTGCGAAAGTAGATCATCTTCATCATCACCTCTGATTTCTATCACTACTTTATTGGTAGTAAAATATATTATCGTGTACATATGTATGTATGTTTTTATGATATATGTTTATATATGTTAGTATTTGTTCAATGTATTCATGTAAGTGGTTTGCTGGAAGAAACCTCTTATTTGAGAGGGACTTTGTACCATTAGCGCAGGCGGAGTTACCGTTACCATATCATTTTCACCCTAAAAAAAAATACTCCCCTTATGGGAAAGGCTTATGTCCAGCAGTAGACAGTTATAGTTAGAAATAATAATAAAAAAAAATAGATACCTCTATGACTATTTATCTATAACAATTTTTTATATTTTTCATCGCATAATTACATTTCTGTTTTGCCAAAGCTTGACTGGGAGAGAATGCTATACAGAATTACGTGTAAGTCCGCCTTTTGTATCAAACATTTTTTTGTAATCTGGTCAATAAATACTAAATAAATGGACACAATATATCTCATGAATACAAAGGAACCTCCGCTTGTCGATTGGAAGCAGTAAACAACAATATTTATTCGATCTGATGGCGTACAAACACTCTTATGAAAGTTTAAGACGCTTTTAAAATGCGACCCAGCCGAGGAACACCAGCGAGGCAACGAGATCACTTGAAAAAGCAACGTGTTACTGCAGCTTTTTCGTATTGTGTACTGTGTTATTGTATTCTTGCCAATTGCAACGATGTTTTTGAAATTGGAATCGATAAAATTCGTAATACAAATATTATATACTAGAGATCTGGCTTCGCATAAGAAGACATAATTTTCGAAAATCAATACATAACATAAAAGAAGTTTAAGCCAATTTAACTGTACATAAGTTATTTTATTTGTGATTCTTCAAATTGATATAACTTGTTTTTTATTTTTAAGAACCGATTAAAATAAAACAAACACTAAATGTTAAGTAGAGTAAACCGTAACACTTTATTGGAAAATTGCATTTAAATCGGTTAAGTTACTTCCTATGCCACTGTGTTAGGTTGACTGGAAGAAATTTCTTTTAGAGATAAGTTCGCCTTTGCTAACATTGTTATTAACTTATTGTTGTTACTGTATGTTTTAGTGCAATAAAGAATATATATACATATATATCTTTGTTGACCACATTACAAAATATGTTTCATACATAAGGCGTGTATATTTCCATTTTTTTCTTTTACAACACAGGGGGCAAACGAGCATGCGGCTCACCTGATGGAAAGTGACTGTCTGTTGTTACTTGTGTGCTACTTACCTATTCAGTTAATTTCCCTTCACGTACTAGGAAATTAGAACTATACAGAATTACGTATTTTAAATGTATTTTCAAAATCATAATAATTTACAATACCGCGACGGTATTCTTCTAAAATTACACTAGGTTTTTTTTTTGATAGGTGAAAATGGCATGGTAACCCCGCCTGCGCTAACGGGATACGCTGGCGGAGCACCAGTGAAGGGTGATAGATGAGAATTAAAACAGGCCAGTTAGCCCACCATGACGAATTCATCAGGAATTAACCATGATAGTTTCCAGGGAGAACCGCGAGGAGGTCGACCTGGTTGGGTATATTGCTAGCAATATGATTCTCAGTCTCCATTACTAGCAATCCCTTTCCTCCCAATAACACTAGGTTAGGATAAAAATAAAAGCTTCAGTTTTATATAAATATGTATTTTAATTTATAAAAAATATTTATTGTTATTTAAAAATAATTAAATTTATTTACGTCACAATATTCATTGGATTTGAATTCCGCTACCAATGCTTCTTCTCACAGGTTCTGAAAAAAAAAGTATCAAATTCAAAATGGCTACCTAATCATGGGTAATTAAGCTCTTAGATACTTCCATTGATGCTTTCTAATAAGCTTTCAAATTTTACAACGACCCAAATTTCATTTTCAATGATTTGAAATTTTGCCCTCTTTGCCGTGTTTGTTTGTTATCAAAATTGTTTATTCCGTAAATATGATATTTCGTAACATTTCACAAAAAGCATTAAGAGCAAAGTTCTGTGATGTTGACAGAAAGATTTTGTACGAAATAAAAATAAGAATTATATAATGGAAGATGCTCTTTAATGAGGACCTTAAAAGGAGAGATATTATTAAATTAAAAATTGGATCCATCGTTAACCAATTATATAAAAACTCAATATTAGTGTAAAAAAAAATGAAAATCAAAAGGTATATTCGTTCGAAATTCGTTCAACGCTGATTTCTAAAACCGATTTTAATGTTGTTTTTTAATGTGTGTTTTTTTCTTCATTTATTTTAATAATAATAATATTACAGTTATAGTCTCATATTACAGTACTGTACGTAAAAGGACCTTTCAATAAATACATCTATTATTATAAAGTTATTTTTTTTTATATAATTCAATTCTATTTTGAAATACTTTGTTTTTTTTCTAATAAATATTATAAAATGGAGTAAAAGAAGTAAATAGATTAAATGACAATCAGTGTATTTTTTTATGTAATTTAAACTGGCAAACAAGCTGACGGCTCTCCTGATGGAAAGTGGTAACCGTCGCCTATAGACATAAGCAGTGTATACTGTTTCGCCCATGATACCCCCCATGCGCTGCCATTCCTGAGGACTCAAATGTTATTCCTCTGTACCCTGTAAATTCAATGCCAATATAATATAATATAATATAATGTATTGCCCACTCTTCAAACCGAAACACAGCCATGTAAACACAACTGCTTCACGGTAGAAACACGAATGGGATAAAGGTATCCAAGCAAACGACTTTTGTTCAAAGTCTCCCTGTAGTAAAAATAAGTAAAAAATAAAAAATAAAGTTAAATTGGTATATAATTACCAACAAACGAACGAACGATTTGGTTTCGGTTCATTCCAGGGCTGTTTGTCCGACGTGATGTATCGAATGAAGAACAAATTGGAGAAGAAGTAAACACCGACAGCGACGAAGAAGGCTTTCCGCCATTCCGTTGGATCGGTCTATTAAAAAAAACATGCACCATTAGCATATGTCGTTTGAAAGTTATTGAATAGGTACTAGCTGTTTTCCACGGCTATGCCCATGCGAATTTTGATTAAGACTGTGGCATGCCATGGACATAATCTGTTATGTACATGGTTGCATACAGTATTCTTTGGTATGCTATGTGCCCATGATACCATTCTGAGGACTAAGGTGTTACACTTCTGTACCCTTTAAGTTTATTGTTGTATCCTAACAGTTACTTAAGACATCAGTTTGACATTAATAAAATTAACACTGCCATTGCCATGTGGTCCCAACTTAGAGGCCACCCCTTTCTTACCTTGGGGGGTAGGGGGGCAAGGGGCTGTAAGTAATGCGGACTACCAGTCCCATTACTAGCAATACACTCTGTCAGGTCGACCTCCACGTTGTCCCCCTTGGAAATCACTGTGCTGAATTCCAGGTGTATTTATCACGATGGGCTAATTGACCTGCCTTTCCATTCTCATCTATCATCCGTCACTGGTGCCCAGCCAGCGTATACCGTTAGCGCAGTTACCATTCCATTATCAACCATTAAAAAGTTTCTTCATTACACGTGGGTATATTAAGAGGCGACTAAGGGAACTTGATGGTCGAGGGATGGGCAGCAGTGTCCTTCTTGAAACATCTCCAAAGCCTAACTGTAATAGCTAACCTGTCTGCCAAATGTGCCAACCACTGGCAAAACCTCCCAAGGGGGAGGCTTATATTCAACAGTGGACAGTTAACGACTGATATGATGATGATGATGATGAAATGAATATTAAAAAAAAATGAATAACTTACCTCATCATTAACAATGACTCCGCAAACAAGGGGCGCGATGATAGATATTATGTTGGCCAGGAAGTTTGTTATTGACATTAAATTTGCACTGAAGTTTGGCGCCAAATCTGTGTGTGCCAACTGCAAGAGATAAGCCATTTATTATTTTAACGGATGAGATAACCTATTTGAATTGAGCGCTAAAAAAAATATATAGAAAAATTTGCTGTACCCTAAGCTATAACTTTTCCAAAGATATGTTCAGAGGGAATCGTAGTCCGATGGCATAGATAGCTGCACAGAAAAATTGCTACAATTCAGAATTGATGTAAAATTTGTGACAAGTGATGATAGTGATTATAGTGATAATAGTGATGACAGTGACGACAGTGACGACAGTGCTGACAGCGATGACAGCGATGATAGTGATTATAGTGATGACAGTGATGACAGTGATGATAGTGATGACAGTGATTATAGTGATGACAGTGATTATAGTGACGACAGTGATTATAGTGATGACAGTGATGATAGTGATGATAGTGATGACAGTGACGACAGTGACGACACTGACGACAGTACTGATAGCGATGACAGTGATGACAGTGATTATAGTGATGATAGTGATTATAGTGATGATAGTGATGACAGTGATAATAGTGATGACAGTGACGACAGTGACGACACTGACGACAGTACTGATAGTGATGACAGCGATGACAGTGATTATAGTGATGACAGTGATTATAGTGATGATAGTGATGACAGTGAAATAGTGATGACAGTGACGACAGTGATGATACTGACGACAGTACTGACAGCGATGACAGCGATGACAGTGACTATAGTGATGACAGTGATGATAGTGATGACAGTGATAATAGTGATGACAGTGACGACAGTGACGACAGTGCTGACAGCGATGACAGTTATTATAGTGATGACAGTGATGATTAGTGATGACAGTGATAATAATTAATGATAGTGATGACAGTGTTAATAGTGAATGATAGTGATGACAGTGATAATAGTGATGACAGTGACGACAGTGATGATAGCGATGACAGCGATGACAGTTATTATAGTAATGACAGTAATGATTAGTGATGACAGTGATAATGATGAATGATAGTGATGACAGTTATAATAGTGATGACAATGACGACAGTGACGACAGTGCTAACAGCGATGACAGTTATTATAGTGATGACAGTGATGATTAGTGATGACAGTGATAATAATGAATGATAGTGATGACAGTGTTAATAGTGAATGATAGTGATGACAGTGACGATAGTGACGACAGTGATGACAGCGATGACAGCGATGACAGTTATTATAGTAATGACAGTGATGATTACTGATGACAGTGATAATAATGAATGATAGTGTTGACAGTGATGATAGTGATGACAGTGATGACAACGACGACAACGATGACGAAGATGACTATGATGGCAATTACTTAAGCCCTAAGTAAGTGGAATATTTATAGATTACGCTGCATTTCTTGAATCGTTTTGAAATTAAATAAATAACCTTATAATTATAAAATCAAGAAGTTCGTAAGTTAATTTTAGTATAGAATAAAAATTAATATTATTAGAACGCGGGTTAAAATTATACATTTTTTATGACAACGTGATGATGGTGATAATTATGATAATATAGATGATGATGATGATATACAACTCACCAAATATCCAGTGAAGTGTCCAGCGTTGATGCCAACAGATATTATAAGCATTACCACTGGAATCACCACGTTGTCGCGCGGAGCGAACGATAGACCGACGAGCGCTAACGCTGGGCCCCAAAAGCCTGAACAATTAGAAACAATATTAAATCCTTACTTTTTTTATCATGCAACTTAGAATGACAAACAAGTTGACGACCCACCTGATGGAAAATAGATATAGATACATATAGATATTTTGTCTAAAGCTCACCTATTGTGTTGAAGAGTCTCCTTGTATTGACAAGAGTCATCCATTTCCTCCTTATAAGCAGGTCAGCTACAGAACCGCAGGGGAAACTCAGTAGAGTCATCGCAATGTAAGGTAATGATGACAATACGCCATTCTGGAAAACAAAAGAATCTGCTTTAAAAGAACATTTGCTCAAATTCAAATTATCTTGTAAATAAACTTGTTTACAAGCACTTTTAAATCGTCATTTTATAATTTACTGCAGGATTTCGGAATTCAAAAATTGTTTATCTGTTGAGAAGAGTCCACAGGTAACTCTACAGTTACGCTTTTAAATCTCTAGTAACATATATATAAGGGGGCCATGATCGCCGTTCCGGTTCGTGTCTGGCTCAAAGGATATCTCTGGCAATCCAAAGCGGAAATGCCGCAAGTGTCATGGGGACCTTTGGGTCGGGTACGGATCATGAATACGACTGACCATTTTTTTAGTAATTGAAACATTATTGCATGTATAAAATAAATATTATAACTTATTTTCTATAAGTTTACCATATTAACTTAAATGTACTACGTCTAAAATTTGCATGGTCATTAAAAGCCCGTACATGATTGACTAACAAGATTTGTCTTGTAATGAAACATTTTACTTATTTTAAGAGAAAAATTGTTGCAAAAAAAAAAATACATAAATGTGGATCTCGCTGAAATACAGTACGATTTCAAAACGGAATTTTATATGTTGACCTTCGTTGGATATTGAGCGGAAGGGCCAACAAAATGCTATATCAAAATTAGAGGCCTACATACACGTGCAAAAACCTCTTAACACGCAGAATACTCATTACCGTTTTTAGAATTAAATATTTGAACGTAGTTTAGCAGAAGGAACATTGGCGCCAAAAATTTTCTACACCATTTTGGAGCCATTTTACCTTATTTTTTAAACTTTTATGAGTCCTTTTTACAAAATTAAGTCCATTTTATACCCGAGTGCTAAATAAAAGTGTAAGTAATATTTCCACATGGGGGAAAGGGATTGTTAGTAATGGAGACAGAGAATCCCATTGCTAGCAATATACCCAACCAGGTCGACCTCCTCGCGGTTCCCCCTGGAAACTATCATGGTTAATTCCTGATGAATTTATCATGATGGGCTAACTAGCCTGTTTTCATTCTCATCTATCACCCTTCACTGGTGCTCCGCCAGCGTATCCCGTTAGCGCAGGCGGGGTTACCATACCATTTTCACTCATAAAAAAAAAATATATATATTTCCACATATAGAATAGCATAGAATAGAAATAATCTTTATTAAAATAGACTTGTCTACAACTTTTTAATTTTTTTTTAATTCTGCTTCTGTCTATGTATATTTATTTTTTTATTTTATGCAACTTAGATGGTGAACAAGGTGATGGCCTTTTCATGTGAACAGTACCATGGACATAACAGAGTATACCACGAGGATATCGAATGAAGGATTATTCGATGCCATTCCTGAGGGCTAAGATGTTTTACCACGGTACACTGTAATTTCATTGCCATATCTTGCACTTCAAACTAAAATACAGCCATGTAAACAACTGCTTCATGACAGAAACACAAATGAGACAGAGGTACCTAAATAGACGACTTTTGTACAAAGTCTCCCTCTAGTAAAATATATTTTAATATGTATTGAAATCTAATGTAAAAATGATAAAAAAAATAAATGCTTTTTCAATGACCTCAACATTTCAGGGAGTTGGATGCAAATGGTTTGAGGAATATTCCTTGTCGCAGTTTGTTCATGATACCTATATTCAGCAATCTATTTATCTATCCATTTAAGAGCTGCGCTCTTGTCGGTGGAGCTCTTGCCACTCACTACGATTTTCAGCGAGTCTCTTCACCTCTTGATACGACACGACACCAACTCCATCCTTGATCTGCCTGATGTAACTATGTCTCGGTCTCCCTCTCCCCCTTCTTCCTTCTATCTTACCTTCTATTATAATGTTCATAAGTTCGTCGTGTCGTATCAAGTGTCCTAACATTTTTCCCCTTCTGTCCTCAATATTCAGCAATGGACAGTTATAATGATGCATGATTTCTTTTATATTTTCTACTTTTAAAAGCTAAAGATAGAAAAATCTTATATTAATAAAAAGAAATCTTTGTATCTTTGTTAATAACTAAAATAAATTCGTCCATTTTAATTTTTTTTTTTTGCATAATTATGATTGTAAATACGGTAACTTTCAAGTTTTCTCGTCAATTACCATCATTTTTATTATTTATTCATTATATTTATTTATTTATTATTTTAGGTTCTTCTACATAAGTACGTACATTCTACAATTTTCTTTCAGCTTCTTAAAGGTTCACTGAAAGAGATCCCTTTGTAGGATCAGTCCATCATTGTATATTAAATCTTTTAATATATTCAGTATGAATTTTGTACAATAAAGATTTTACGATACAATATAGATAAAATTTCGAAAAAAATATATAGCTTATATTAACTTATATTAAGTAGTTTTTGAGTTTATCCATTTTACAAAAAAAACAATAAAATTTTTCATATTTATAATTATATATATATATATATATATCATATTTTTAACGAATTCACATTGATTTTCAGACATTTCTAAAAAAAATAAGATTGTTACATATTTCAAATAATATTCTTTCAGAAACATCCAACGCAAATGTTATTGCCTTTCATGTTTTTAATGTACATCTTGTTAATTTATTAGTTATTTCATGAAAGTTTTTAACGATAGATGAGTAAATATAATGATTTGTAATTTATGTAAATATTTATTTTAATTTCTTTTTAGCACTCCTACTGCCCACTCACTACTTCCTATGTCACTGCGTTAGGTTGACTGGAAGAAATCTCTTTTAGAGATAAGTTCGCCTTTGCTAACATTGTTATTAACTTATTGTTATTGCATATTTTAATGCAATAAAGAATATATACAATGTTTATTACTCTTTCACACAAAAACTTCTAAAAGGATTCGAATTAAATTTCCTATACAGTTAGGTTGTATCCTAATTTAGCACATTAAATACTTTGTGTACTTACTGATTTACGTGGCCAAAGCCACGAGACAATACTAGTAATTCCATATATCTAATTTCCTCAAACAAACGCTTCCTGTTTATTTGTTTTTATTACGGAACACTAATTGCTTTGATGACTTGCACTTACCAGGTTTTTCGTATTAGCGTGTGTACGCACTGTGTTGCGTATGGCGTAATGGCCGACAATCAATTATTGGGGGTTTAACAAACGATTGCTCTGATTGCTCGCCCGTACTCACGTACGCAATTATATCACGAAACAATTAATTCTGAATTGTTGCAATATACGTGGTGTAAAGGGAATCTTTACCACATTTTTAATGGGTTGTCCTATCGAAGATCAGGATTAGGATTTCACTGATTTCTATCAACTTCGATAAAACTGCGTTTTATTACGGAAAACATTCCACCCTTACATGTACCTTTTTTTTAAATCCTCGGAACGGTGAGGTCGCTCCGTGAGGCCTGTGAAGAACCCAGGAAGCTTCTGCGCTTCTGGGCGGAGCTAGGTTGGCTGCACTAGCCACGATTTATACGCACAATGGCCCAAGTGAGAGGCTAAGCTCGGAAAATGGAGTCTTTTTCACATTTACATTCACACCTTTAAAACTTGGGACATAAATACGTATATTTTGGCTCACAGGTTGAAATTTATAATGTACGCCTCCGAAGCGTATGATTAGGCTTTGTGTACCTCCGAGATAGATTCTAGGGCTTCTAGGGTTAAAAGGCTAATCCATCAAATATTATACGAAAGTGATTTTGTTTCTTTGTTCATTTGTTACTTAGCCTCTTAACTGTTGAAGAAGTCACTACGAAATTCTTTTTTACAATATAGTTGGAAGTCCCTAACTCCCGAGGTAGGTATGAAAAAAACTGTGTTTCAAGAGTTAGTGCCCTCTTGCATATGCTGTTGTTTTACATTTTTAGTGAAACAATGTGAAACAGAGAAGCAACAAATACAAAAACATATATACGTGCTATATGAGACGAAGACGGTCATTGTCCACTTTTTATCTCGATCAGCGAACCTATCTCGGTCAGGCGGACGACGTCGCGAGTAAAAACTAGTTAATAAATAATAGAAAAAAAAAATTTGGTGAATACAAAGGAAACTAAATTAATATTTATTTATATCTAGTTCAATGGCCAGATGTAGTACTGTCAAATAAAGTGTTTGACATCAATATTTGATATATCGCACGCTTAATAATAAATAGAAATAACTCAAAAATTGGGAAAATCTAGTTTTTGTAATAAAACATAATAATAATGCAAAAAGAATAGGTAGAGTTCGACAGCCTTTCAATTTTCATGAATAAGACGGAGATAAAAGATCGATCGCCTCTTTCATTCCAAACGGGTTGGCAATGTTGTCTGTCAAAAAGCGATGCATTTAGTGATGAATCAATCTTAGTAAAAAGTAGACGTACGTTTTTGTGGCGTAAAGTAGAATATTGCTGTTTACAATTAAAACGTGAGTATATTATTCATATTTTTTTAATAATAAAATGCAATATTTCAATTTAATTCTATTTAATATTTAAAATTGTGGTATTGTCAAATGCATAATCTGTACTTATTTCAGTTTAGTTTTAAATTGTTTCAGTGGTTTAAGAAGTAACTTGAGTTATTTCAGTTTATTTTTAAAATTCTATCGTATTTTTTGTAACATTAAAACCTATTTCAGTTTATTATCAAAATGTGGTAAGAGTTGGGTTAAATTTTTGTTTTTATCTCAGTTTATTATTAATAGCAAAGTAAATTTAATTGATGTTATTGTAAGTTATTGCTTTTTCTGATTATCTAGGCTCTGCGACTATGCGAAAATGTTTTCAAGAGGCCGAAAGATTTTAGGTCTACTAAATATCCCAGCAATCGAAAATGAGGAAGAATTAGTGTCAAGTGTTGGACATTGATTCAGATTTATTGGTAAGGCACTTACTGTGTCCTTCCTTATTACTGTTTGCAAACATAGGTAAGCGGAAACCTAATCAACGGTTGTTTCAGAATTCACAAGATCAAGATAATACCTCGTTAAACAAAGAAAATATTAATCATTCGAACGAAAACTTTGATATGATATTAAGTTATTTAGAAGTGAGTACTATGTTACATTTTCAATTATTATTTTAATTAGTTTCACAAGTTTGTATGAAAACAAAGGAGATCCGTTTTAATGATTATTTATTTTTTACAAAAACCAATTTCGGTTGAAATTAAGAGCAATATTAGTACCAAATATGACCAGCCTCTTTCTATAACAAAAAGTCAAAAATGTTTTCCTTTGAACCTTGTACCTGATTATGATAATCAGTCGTGCATAGAAGACGAGAAGACAGTCGCAAATACTGCGCGTCGTTCATCTACCAGTTTGATTTCTTCTTCAAATTTGTTTGGATCCTCTTCAAATTCAGACAGTTTAACGTCATCCAACAAATCTGGACGAACAGAAGGAAGTTCTGTTTATTTCTAAGTACTTAGACCTAACCAGATTGCGAATGTTTCTTCTGTAGAATCGAGCCAAGACGACATTATTGAGAATACGCCGATGACAGATCAGTTAAAATACAGCAGAGACAAAGTAATTTTCAGTTTATTTTCGACTTATTTATCTTTTATTATATTTCTCTAAGTTTTTTTATTTATTTGCCCTTTCATTTCTTTGCAGCTACAACTTGCAATTAATTCTGCCTTACATAAGCGTAGATGCTGCCTTAATAACAATTTGGGGACAATATCTCCAATATACACTGATGAGAGTGATGTAGATGACGATGTCGCAGATCCAACATTTGTTTCCGAAGATCAACTTACTGAAAGCTGTAGAAGGAGGTTTAAATTAGTCCCGGCAACCTCTAGTTCTTCAGATTCCGAGCCTGAAGTTGAGATTGAGCAAAAAGGTCGTAAACGAACCCAGTGTCTACAAAAATGGAAACAAAATAAGGCAAAACAATTGAGAAATCTTGGAGAAAAATATGTATCCCTTTCTAAAACTAAAAAGACGATGCCAAGCCGTTGTCTTAAAATACCATGTGAAGAGAAATGCCACTTAAAATGTTTTCAAAATATTAGCACTGAGGAAAGATATAAGATATTTCGTAATTTCTGGAAATTAGGTGATTTAGGTGAGCAAAGAGCTTTTATCAATTAGTCTATGGTTGACCTGATGCCCAAGTATGCAGAAATGCATAAAATGAATAAACACAAATGCAGAAAAGCCAAGAGCTCCAAACAAGGCCTACTACTTAACCTCAAAGAATGTCAGGATTAGAGTCTGCAAATTATTTTTCAAAAGTACTCTAGATGTGACTGACCGCATGATACATACAATCCAACATAAAAAAGATAGTACTGGAATAGTGCAAGGAGACCTTCGAGGAAAGCATGGGAACCACAGGCAATTGAATAAGGAATTATAGTAATATAAGGAAGCATATAGATTCCATTCCTCGGATTGAGCCGCATTATGTTCTTCAAGGCAGTATATTGACACAATTTTAATGTCAATACAGGAAGAGTATCAGTAAACTGGAATGACATAAAACAGATAAAAGTTTCTAAGGAGAATCCATTTACAACTTACTACAAAACATCTTACGAACAAAAGACCTGTCAGGAAATCGATATAAGGAACAAACGAAAGAAGATGCCACCCATTAATTTAATCTCTCTTGAAAAAGCATATACTGAAAAGCAAGAGTTAAGTGATAATAAGAAGAAAGACTTACGGGAACTTCTCAATAAAGGTCTTATTCCTCCATATTATTATCAAAACTTCAACAATACTACTTTGTCTGATTAAGTTAAAACCTATACTAATTTTTCATAGTGATTTTATATTATTAAGTACTACGATATAAAAGGGATTTTTTTTTAAGTTTTTGATTATTAGAGTTTTTTATTTTTTTGTTTGTTTTAGAAGTCGATTTTGTTTTAAGCTCTAGATCTCAATTATTCCAAAGTATAGGTTAAATAAAAAGTACCTTAGTACGTTATTTGTGTAGTCCTAATTTCACTAAGGCTCATTTTATTTGATTTATTGAACATGATGATGATTATTATATTTAAGTATTAAGATTAACGTGATGATCTCTACCTTACTCAATGTGTATTAAACAAGGCTGTTTTAGTTTATGCTAGAAGTTCCTACTTATGTTATTTTCATATTTTTTGTTACTAGTTTGTTAGTCTATAGGTGCAAAACTTCAAGACTGAAAGTTTATGTTGATTAAATAGTATCCAAGCCAAGTCGTAGTTTTGTTTTTCACTGTTTTTTTTTATAACATTTTACTAAATAATTCTGTGAATACAGAATTTATTTCAGATTAAATTTATGTTTTTAAAAGTAGCATAAATAAAAAAAGAAAATATTTTGATATAAATTTCAGTAGTCGTATACTTATAGATCAAAAGAGAAATAACACTCATAGCTACCAATGATTTAATTTTTCTTTTAAAATAAAAGAGAACTATTTAGTTAAGTGCCATAGCTTATATGTGTTTGATTACTTTGTTTTTGTAATAAACTGAAATAAGTCGCAGGCTTTTTTTTCTTTTCAGTTTTTTTCGGGGTTTCCAATATTGTAAAATGGTAATTGCTATACCAAATTGAAGGTCGATATCTCTACTTTTAGATTAATTTCTTTTATTTTGAGAAATATGACAATTTTTTACCTTTTTTTCATATTTAGTGCAACGAGTCAAACTTGCAAAACTTAAAACGTAATTTCCCAACATTTCAAATTTTTGAGTTATTTCTCTTTATTATTAAGCGTGCGATATGTTTGTATTGGCAGCTAAACAAAGTTCGTACGGCGAAAAGAAAAATGTTTTTTTTTACGTTCTATCGAGTAATTTTTCCAATTTATCTCTTCACAAGAATCTCCTTCGGACTTCAACGAATATTTGGAATGGAAAAATTAGCCGAATTGATTCAGCTGCTATAGAGATTTGCGCTTAGCAACACGTTTAGTGATTCATTTTTGTTTATACGAATATATAAACCGTCTTTCAAAAAAAGCGTTCACGCCCACTTTCTTACTTTATCAGAGCAGTAAGTGCTTTATATTATTATTTACCATACCATTTTCACCCATCAAAAACAAAAAAAAACTGTACTTATACAATTGTATCGTTATATTTATTAATTGTATTGCTTGTTCCCTATATTGTACAATATAATGCAAATAAAGTATACTCATTCATTCAAGGTCTGCCTTAAAACTGGTGTATGTTTTATTTTGATAGGATATCATCTAGAAGCAGTGAGTTTTTCTCCTTCTAAAATCTACGCATACAAAGCAGCATGCAAAAATCTAGTGTATAAAAAAAATTGTCCAAATGATGATTCAGTGAAATACCCACTTATTTCATTGTTTTTACCTAACTGGGTCAGTTAGGAAAAAAACACTCTTTTCCCTTAAAATGTTACATTGCTTAAGGGAAGGGCTGTTTTACGTTACGTCAGTTTTAAGGGAGCAAAATGTTAAATTATTAACAGGTTGAAAAATTCCGGGTTGCGGGTGAGTTACATCGCAAAAGCAATGTAATCAGTCATAGATAATCCAGTTCCCAAATTCAGACTTATATATTTAAAATATTTCCAAATAGAAACATGTTATTTTTTTTTTCAATAGCAGTAATTTTTAACCTACATCAAAAAAGGTAGAGGTTCTCAATGTGGTGGGATTTTTTTTATGTTTCTTGCCTCATAACTGTATTTGTAATAAACCGATTTGGGAAACTATTTCTTTTATCTAATAAGATATACTTTCAGATAGGTTTCATAGATTTTTAGAAGATTAGAAGCAGTTGTGTTTGTATGGCTGTGTTTCGGTTTGAAGGGTGGGATATGGCGTGAATTTACTGGGTACAGAGGAATAACACCCGAGTCCTCAGGAATGGCAACGCATGGGGGGTATCATGGGCGAAACAGTACACTCTGTTATGTCCATGGGCTCATGTCTATAGGCGACGGTTACCACTTTCCATCAGGTGGACCGTCAGCTTGTTTGCCATTCTAAGTTGTACAGAATTTTTTTTTTTTAATACGACTCAGTACGTTAGTTTTTTAATCAATTCAAATTTGCCACAATTGTCTTTTTTTTTTCTTCACATTTTTTAATAATTATATGGATTTAGAGGTTTAGGCTTGAACTTAAGTCTGGCGTCCGGGGATTCTAAGATAAAATCTCAATTTTATCTTAGGATACCCGGACCGCAGTCAATCGTGATTCGATTGAGTTAGCAACTAAAATATCTTACAAATACTATGAAATTTCAACTAAACGATATCTGTACACGGGAGGTATTTAATAAAAAATAATATGAGAACAATAGAATATTATTCTGTATTATTAGTATTCTGACACTTCTCTATGGTTGACTGGGAGAGAATGCTTTTAGCATTAAGTCCGCCATGTACACATATTTGTACTAATTAATAAATAAATAAATTGAAGCCAAAAAATGTATAGAAATTGTGTCTGTTTATCTGTCTGTATCTATGATCCGGCATCACGCAAAAACAACTGCACAACATAAGATACTGTTTTCACATTTGTACTCACGAAAATCTAATTTAAAATTTGATAAACGATTTATCCTGACACACGATCTAGAAGCGATATATTTAATTTGATCTCCCACTTCCGAAATCCACGCTCAAGAAACAACAAATAGCTAGTTGTAATTTATTTACAATATTTATTTACAGGAGCTGCTTCTCTCCTGTTAGGCGTTGAAAGGCCTTTTTTTTTATCAATAAAACATCAATATTCGGATCCCTTTAGGTTCTTATAATCAGTCCACTGAGCAGTCAAATTGGAAGTGGGAGGTCAATGACCATTTCGTTCAGGGTTTGAGTTGGATACATAAATTTTATACGCTTCGTGCATCGGGGAGCACGTAATGCCCCGTCCAGGACTTACGTCACCAGACTTTTGTGATATCTAGAAACTTTTGATGTTAAAGGCCGCCTCTTTGTACAAATAGTACTAGAAGTGTGTAGGCTGTATTTATTATTTTACTATAAATATATCAGCAGTTCATTGTCCAATAAGGAGAGTTTTGCCAGTAGTTGCCACGGTTGGTGGGCAGGCTGTACTGTTGTTAAGTAATTATGAATTATGCCTTATTCCCTTATTCTTGACTAGATGTTTACTGACCCGGGTATAAAGTAGGCACTGCACCTCTCTAAATTACATAATGATCGGTTAAATAATTAAGACGCTATAAGACAACAAACTCACTTTCATATTTATAATACTAGCAAGGATTGTGCAAATTTTGAAAATATTTAAAATAAGTAATCCATTTTTTTTTTTTATAGATAATATTATAGTTTTATAAGGGTACAGTATTTGTGGTTTTAGAACTGGGCTCCTAAATAGATTAATATATTAACCTGTGTTAAGGGGCTACAGCACCAACCCCCTTCAGTTTTATGGGGATATTAATATTGATATAGCGAAAGAGGTCTGTTTGAATCGATGCATTTGGCGTTCCATTGTTTCTGCCTACCCTAATGGGAGATAGGTGTGACATGTATGTATGTATGTACGAAACTTACGCTTTTCAAATCGAATTGCAGTACTTTACTCATGTAGGTGGGCATTTCCGTCATGAGAGTGAAAAATCCCCAATTTTGCCCACAGTGGGCAACTATCACGGCCCAGAACGGTAACGAGGTAATGATTTTCAGCCAAGGTGTTGGAAATCTCTGTAAAAAAAGAATAATTATTCGTATTTAAAGAAATTTTGAGTATTTATTTGGAAATAAAATAATATAAAACAAGTTAATTTGATATTTTAATTAATATTATTATATTTAACTATCTTATTGCCCGTTACATCGTAGGTGTGGATTTCAGAATTATGAAAATCAACAAAATTTACCAATTCTAGATTGTGTATTAAGATAAAATGTATAACCAGTTTTTAAAATAGACTTTCAAGAATACAGCTGTGAAAACCGCATCCAATTCGGTGCAGTAGTTTATGTGTAATTCTGGAATAAGTCGGAGCTGTCTTTATAAAAGCAATGTAAGTCAAAATAATATATTTTTTAAATTTTTTTCAGTGTCACGCTAAAAATGCTACACCAAATTGTATGTAGTTTTTATATTTCTCTTTCTATAGGTTTGAGGTATAATTTTGTGATTTCTAAAATTTACGCGTACAAAATCACAAAAGCTAATTTTTAATTTATCCATTACAAACAAATATACTATAATATTTCACAAAAATACATAACTCTTAATGTATACAATTAGGCTAAGAGTTAGAAAATGATGAAATAAACATATGTAAAAATAATTTTTTTCCTCTTTATATATTTTTTTTATACAACTTAGAATGGCAAACAACCACCCACTGATGGAAAGTGGTAACCGTCGCCTATAGACATGAGCAGTACTATAGACATAACAGAGTGTACTGTTTCGCCCATGATACCCCTCATGCGTTGCCATTCCTGAGAAATCAGTTATTATTCCTCTGTACCCTGTAAATTCACTGTCATATCCCACCCTTCAAACCGAAACATAGCCGTGCAAACACGACTGCGTCACAGTAGTAACACGAAGGGTACAGAGGTACCCAAGCAACTTTTGTACAAATAGTAAAAATAAAAAATCAACTAATATCTAACTACCTCCTGCTGGCCGACTCTTCCCAACGACCTCTGTATATACAGTACTTCCTCCTGCGATATGATCTTGGATGTTTCAGGGGAATCTGAACCTAAAAACAAGTACGCCAAGGCCCATATAGCGGCGATGGTGGCGTTCACGTAGAATATTGCTTGCCAGCCCCACGCTGTTGCAATAAACCCTGATGCTATCAGCTGCAGAGCGATGCCTAGTTGCCCACCTACAAATGATAATAATCGTTCATTTTATTCCATTACAAGAAACGAACTCACATTTACAAGAAACGAAATCGTAACCAAGTCTTTATTTATTTATTTATATTTCTATAATATATAAAAATTGCATTATTATAACTTATTCCAAGTAAAGATGTACAACAGGCGAGCTTAACTCTGTAAGAGTTCTCTTCCAGCAAACCCTGAGTGGAGAGGAGCATTAATTACCAGCGGGCAGTGTGAATATTATAAGAAGTAGAAACAGTATAGTTGTTTCTATTAAGAAATAATAAATGTGTTTGCCTAAATACAAACTAACTTATATACTTACTTGCAAAATACTCACATATCTGTATATTAAAATACATACATACACACACACACATATATATATACACAAAGTTATCAGAACCAGTTCAGAATAGTAATTCTTCAAAAATTTTTTTGTCTTAATTTACGCCTAATATACAGGGGTTACAAGTAGTACCTGAATAAATGATGGTGCCCAGTAATCCTTTCTCCTCAATTGGGATCCACTGACTAATAAGATGATGCATGCAAGGGTACGTGAAGGCTTGGGTGAGCCCTTGCAGCATACGACAGGCGCATACAAGCTGCCAGCCACCCTGCGAACAGGAGTTACAAAGTTATTAAAATAAAATCAAGTACTGAAATTGGTGTGTGCGCGTGTGTATGCGCGCGCACACTCAAATGTGTGTGCGTGTGTTTTTGTATGTATTTGTGTATGCGCGCATGCGTGCATGCATAGATGAATGCGTGTGTACGTGTGCGTATTTCTCTCTCACCCTCCCCCTCCCTCTCACCCCCCCCCCCTCTCTCACTCACTCTCTCTCTCTCTGTGTGTGTGTGTGTGTGTGTGTGTGTGTGTGTGTGTGCATGGCTTTTAAGGTAAGTTAAAATATTTAATATCAGTACAGGACATGACTAATAAATCACAATTCCGGAAACTAGCGCTGTTAACTGTCCATTGCTAAAAGTAGGCCTCCCCCTACTGAGGGGTTTTGCTGATATTTGCCATACTTAGCAGATGGGTTGGCAAACGCAGTTAGACTTTGTTGTTTGTTTTTGTTTAAGATGGTCTTTGTTAATATTTTAAGAGGAACGCTGCTGCCTATTCTCAAACATTAAGGTCCCTTAGTCGCCTCTTACAACGCTCATGGGAAAGGAAGGGGTTGCCCATTCTATACCGGGACCACACAACTTTTTCTTTAGTTTTTTTTTTTTACAACACAGGGGGTAAACGAGCATGCGGCTCACCTGATGGTAAGTGACTACCGCCGCCCATGATCACCCACAACACCAGCGGCATTGCAGGTGAGCTGCCGGCCTTTTAAAAAGTAATATGCTCTTTTCTTGAAGGTTATGTTGTCGTATCGGTTCGGAAATCCTGCTGCTGGAAGTTGATTCCAAAGAATGGTTGTGCGTGGAAGAAAGTGTCTTGAAAAACGCACGGTGGAGGACCGCCACTCGTCCAGATGGTTATTTATATGAAAAAGATTCTTTGAATACTTACTATACTGGGTGCTTTTGGCAACAATGCTGACACGATAGAGTTAATTGTTACTGATATAAGGATCAGTCTTTTCCCACCAAACCTCTTCGCCAACTCTCCACTCGGGATCTGCAGTATCACATACCCCCAGAAGAAGGAGGATAAAATCATGGTTTTTATTCTAGAGGACCAATCGTAGCTCTGTAACCAAAATTTATTTACTTTTTAAAATTTTTCTTTTTTATTTATTATCACAAAAAACAGTGTTACAGAAATTATGTTACATTAGCATTCAGAAATCACGTAGGTTTATATTTAAATTATTTAAATTGTATTAAAACCATGCAAGAAGTATTATTTATTTATTTATTTTATTTAACACTTTATTGCACCAACATAACATGATTTGTTAAAACAATTTTCAATACGTATAGTGTAGTACAAAAGGCGGTCTTATTGCTAAGCAATCTCTTCCAGACAACCTTTGGGTAGAAAGGATAAGTATAAGCATAAGTAGGTAGGTGGCGCGTTAAAAAAGATAGATTTGTAAAAAATAATATTTGTGACAGCATAGTCATATACATATACATACATAAATAAACACATACAACCAAACATATACATATATAGGTGTATGTATATAAATATAATAATGAGTAGGGATAATATTTATATTATTATATGTATCACATCTCCCATATTTAGAACTAACAAAATTTTTCATCGTGCCTCCCACCAAACTGTTTATAATTACTCCTCTCCATCCAAAGGTTGCCTGGAAGAGATCGCTCTTAGCGATAAGGTCGCCCATTGTTTTCTCATTGTGATTATTTCTTGTAATTATTTATATTTATAATAAGTTTACTATTGTAATCTTTTGGAGGAAACAATAAAGAGTATCTATCTATCTATCTATCTATATATACATACACATACACATATAAATATATATACATACATATACATATATACGCATAAATACATACAAATATACCATATTAATACACATATATATAACACACATAAAACTGGAAATACGTAGGACTAAGTGATTATAAGGATAGGTAGTGGGCTTTAACTAAGTTTTTAAAAATGGGCAACGATTGAGCGCACCGTATAGAGGTAGGGAGTGAGTTCCACAAACGAACTGCTTGCACGGAAAAGGATTTGGAGTAGAAAGAGGAAGAATGGGTAGGAATTATGAGTTGGAGGTTGTCAGTACTACGTAAAGAATAAGAATTAGAATTGCTCTCTCCAAGAAACATAAAACGTTCTTTTAAATAATGAGGTGTAACTGGATTAAAGAGAATTGAGTAAAGAAGGGAAAGGATGTGCCAGTTACGACGAAGGCGGATAGAGAGCCACTTGAGCCGTGTACGATATTGGGATACATGGTCATATTTGCGAAGTCCAAATATGAACCGTATACATAAATTTTGAAGACGCTCAAGTTTATTTAACTGCTCTTCAGTGACAAAACAAATGCCGAGATTTTTAACGCGGTCGCTGTAGTTTAACTTCATTCCATTAAAAACTACAGAAGGAAGGTCATTCAAAGCCATTCTGGAAATGTAACTAGGGCTACCTATGATTATAACCTGGGTCTTGGTCGGATTTACAGCAAGACCATAGGATTTGCTCCAGACAGATATACGTTCAAGGTCTTCGTTTATTGTATTTACTGCAACAGAAATATTAATAAGAGGAGCCCGGCAGTAAATTTGAAGGTCGTCTGCATAAAGATGGTAGGAAGACCGAAGCTGAGACGTGATATTGTTGATAAATAAGGCAAATAAAAGAGGAGATAAGACGCCACCCTGGGGCACGCCCGCAGATGTACTGCACCAAGATGACAAAGAGTCGTTGATACGAATACGCTGCCGACGTCCAACCAGGTAACTACGAAACCATTCAATTGCCGTTGGAGATATGTTGAGAGAAGTCATCAGTTGCAACAAAATGTCGAAATCGACGGTATTAAAAGCATTACTGAAATCTAATAATGTTAGATCTAATAATCTAAGAAGTATCGTTTTATATTTACATTTGATGTTGCTAATAGTAATATTATCCCGTACATCGGTGGGTAGTTCGTTAATAAATCGAGGAACTAAACTTAAGTCCCACTGCTGGGTATAAATACTATATTATAAAACTACGTAATATTTATATTATTAAATTTCTAAAAAATTCACATCTCCCCTCTTAAGGAGAGGAGATGGCAAACTAACCCCGGCAGAAGCACAGTCGGCCGGCGTTCAGGGCCCCAGGGAGAGAAACCGGCGTACAATGCGGACAGAATCTAAGAGCACCGCTTTCTACATCTTTCCCGGGAGTCAGTTGCCTCGGAATCCCAACAGTCTGAGATGTTGTTCCAGACTGGTTGGGATAAGACCGTTCACCGACAAAACAATTGGAATGATTTCGATGGACATCACCCCCCACATTTCGGTCACCTCGTGAGCCAGGTCGAGATATTTTCTCTTTTTCTCATCTTCGGCTTTCACGAGGTTATTATTATTATTATTGAAAGATTATTGTTAAAAGCGCTGTTTTTTATTTCCTCAGGATATAAAGATTGTTTCCGAAAGGAGATACATATATCGTTTATGTATGAATGGGCTACAACCACAAATTAAATGAAATTTCACCACCATTTAGACTATAAGGCGAACATTTGTACATCACAATGGATCAATATCTGTAAAAAAACAATGTTCTGGCAAATAAACAAATCTAATCTAACCAACTTTATAAACTGAGGAGATAAAAAAGATCGCTGCAAAAAACATTTTAAAATTCCTATCCAGTGATATGAATTTTGAGATGTTTCACGATGATAAATATTAAAAATGAGCATATAATAAATAAATAGAGGTGAAATTAGTTTAGAGACAAAATATGCGTTGCAAAACATGCGTGGACGTAATGGCAGTCGGAGATTGAGAACTAATATGGAAGGTTGTAGATAAAGTTCTGGTAGTAACGATGATGGTGATTCTTTGATTGTTGTCAGTCAAACACATACTAATGGTAGCGGAATTAAACAAAATAATTCTAAACAAATAACTGATTTCTAATCAAATAAATGATATGAACTTCCGCAAGATAACACCTAGTTCAGTAAAATATTTATAAATAAATAAATAAATACGAAAATAATAACTCAGAAATAAATTGCAATAATGGTGTATTTATTATTGTTATCGAAATGACCCTAATATCTACTAATAGCTGTTTATCAGAGTCGAGTGGAAATTTTCTATAAGTATGTGAGATATAGAATGCCTTGAACATATTACTGTTTGGGGTGCATGTATTTTTATATGTATTTTGTAGTAATGATTTCGATTCTCGTAAAATAAATCCTATTTTTAATTTATTTATTCATTAGTACATATATGTGTATATGGCGGACTTAATGCTAAAAGCATTCCCTCCCAGTCAACTATAGGGAAGTGTCAGAATACTCGAATGCGGTACTAGTAATTATTGATATACATACATACTAAAACTACATATATAAACGAATAAATATATATATGAATAACAAATATACTTACACATATATGACATATACTATATTATACACGAAATTGAGAATAATATAAAGTACTTACTGCTCGGTTTAAATTGAAAAAGTGAGCATTTTTTTTAAGACGGTTTAAATCTTCATGTGTCATTAAAGTTGAAAAGTTGTTCGGATGAAATCTTTCCTTCCGCAGTTTTACTGCTACTTTAATTAACCGAACTCTTTATTACATGTCACTTATCAATTCATAAATAAATTAACAATTTCAAGAAGATAACAATTCCAGAAATTGCATGAGAATATAAAATTCCAGATAAACTATTAACATTTTAGACTCGGTCGTATGGTTACAGAATATTTTAAATAAAACAGCCGACTATCATTGCAATGTTTGTAAAAAACCACGCCAAAAATAAAGATACACATATTTAAAGAAGAAAAAAGCTAAAACAATAAAAATAAACTCTTTTATTGAAGAAGTTCGAAAAAATAAATTCGAAGTGAGAACTCAATTAATTTCAAACTTTGTCAAACATTGTGCCAGTTCTTCCGACCACATTATCAACTAATTGTGGTTTTTAAACAACAAAAAAAAACCACGTAATCGGTTATTGAAGAAAATATTTATTCTAATCTCTGTTAGCAACTAGCAATTGGCGAGAACTGAGTATTATCTAAATTCCTGTTTTTATAACTAAGCTATATACATATGTACCTATTTCTTTTTTATGTAACTTGAAGTAGTAAACATAATATAAAAATGAAAGCAGCGTCTGTAAACAGGAATAGTACCACGAACAAAACAACATATTTACTTTTTTTTCTATATAATCATTTCATCGCTACATTTTACTGGGTACAGAGGAATAACACCTGAGTTCTCAGGAATGGCAACGCATGGGGTGTATCATGGGTGAAACAGTATACTCTGTTATGTCCATGGTAGTTCTCATGTCTATAGGCGACGGTTACTACTTTCCATCAGGTGGATCGTCAGCTTGTTTGCCATTCTAAGTTGTATAAAAAATAAAAAATAAATCATTACATCCCTGTATATATTTAGTAATAAAATAATGCATTCTTTTTTTAATTTTTATCATGTACACATCTATATCTGTACAATAATATGTATAATAAAAAAAATTATAATTTCATACATATTTTGACAATTAAATTAAATAGGTATTCAACAAATTAAACAAACTTTATTATCAAATTTAACAAGTCAAAGGTTAATACGGACGTTGTAAATAAAAGATTTTTTCTTATCAAATCTGCTCGTAATGCTTTGTTCGATTTTGTGTATAAAAAATATATGCAATACGTAGTTCGATTCCCAGTCAGGCCCTGGAAGCCTACCACGAAATGATATTCCGAAGTTACGGACATAATTTCGTGTTTTCATTCATACCTAAATTGGCACAGTAAATGGAGCTCAACATATCGTTCGTCATAAATCCTACCATAAATGTCCAAAAGAATAATATTTTAATATTCTTAATGTTTTTAAACGGTAAACATTATGTAATTTTAACATCAAATTTGTGTTTCGTTCGGCTCTGAAAATACGGAAAACATTTCATGGTAGGCCCCCTGTAGACAAATGGCAAGCGAATTTGTCAATGGAATCGACATCGCCAACGAGTCCGTGAGTTGGAATGAGCCACCC